AGAGTTTGTTGTAAATGGCATGAATTTAATACACTTATCCCTCATGGTCTTAACAAAGATTTTGAGTTGTGATATTTTTAAGATTAGCTCTACACATATATATATTTTAAAAAGCCTTATTTTTATTATTACAGTTTTTTTCTATATGGTATAAACTCATGTATTTTTTTAAATTTTGTTTAAACTCATGTATTTAAATCATCACCGCCTCCCTATCTATTTTATTATCTGCCAAATTGGATTTTTTTAAAACAAGTTTGGCATTAAATGTTTTTATGAATCTCTATTAACTTGTTTTTCTGTTCTTTAGGTAGATTATTGCTGGTATAAAGCCACCTGAGTATACTGTTTTTATTGTTGCACTTGCACCCACGGGTGTATACAGGGGCTCATTGTTATAGATTAGCCTTCCCTTCAGTGGGTCACTGCTTAGTTCTCAAGCTGGTTTTAGCACATCTTGTGCCATTACAGAGAGCCAGGCCATGCATCTCAGACTGATTCCACCCAAAAGAGCAGAAGAGATAAAAAATACAGGCCAGCTCTCTCTGCACGAGCGATACAGCAACCCCAGATGATCGTTTCAACCTTGTTAGGCATCATCAGTGAGGTATAGCCAATATCCCTCTAGGCACTGTGAGCAAGGGGTCCACATCTGGATTACCCATTAAGCTTAAGGAGAGCAAAGAACAGGTTGCAAGAGAGTGCTGAGAACGAACAACAGCTCAATTAGCCTGCCCTTCAGTGGGACCCAACTCAGTTCTCAAGCTGGTTTTAGCTCATCTTGTGCCATTACAGAAGGATCATCTCTGAAACATATCAGACTGTTTCCACCCAAAAGGGCAGAAGAGATCCAAAATACAGGCCAGCTCTCTCTGCACGATAGATACAGCAACCCCAGATGATCGTTTCAACCTTGTTAGGCATCATCAGTGATGTATAGCCAATATCCCTCTAGGCACTTAATTTTTATATTTCAATGCAAATACTGTTTGGATGCAATAAATGAAATGAAGTATATTACAGTCAGAGAAAAGAGTGAAACAGGGAAAAATAAAGACCAAAGGAAAAAAAAAAGAAAAAAAGAAATTGGGAAGGTATTGCACAATAAATAATGGCAGTTGGAGGAGGAGGAAAAGGAAGAGAGATAGGAAAGGTGCTTACTGGGAAACTAGTTGCACTAGAGGCACCTATAACATTTCATGGTCACTGTGGTCAAGTCATGTCACTCACCCATTATGGGTTATTGTTTTGATAGGGATGAATCTTTTTACTGACTGTAGCCAAATAGAGAGTACATGATGTACCCAACTTTGATCATTGTCTTCTCCAAACAATGCCAGACTTCTCTATATAATATGTCAAATTAATGATACATTATTATGCAAATTTCATTGTTTAATAATTACAATAAGAAAATCTAAAAATAAATATTGTCAAAAAAACACTTAGAATTAAATTTTATATATATTTAATTCTATGTGTATATTTAGCTATCTTGATACATAATTATGTGATTTTATTAATTACAATTTGACAGCTCAGGCAAGTCCAGAGAATTTAATTTGCAAGCCCTATATTTAACTTTATAACTTTCCAAAACTCCATACTGTTGTACTCGGGAGACTTAGCTGAATACAAATATAAGTGTTTCAAAACAGGATAACATATCACGACGATATCCTCAATGAAAGTGCAGTTTGTGTGTGAAAAGTGCAAAAAATAAATGAATGCTAACCTTGGCCAGGGTTTGTAACTAAGAGGCTCCTAAAAAAGACTGGACATACCCCATTTTGAATACCCTGGGTTGTCTAGTTTTCCATTTGGTTGCCATGATGAGGTTGATTTTCATTCCTAGGCTGCCATGTGGTTCTAAATGCAACACATGCCCAGCAAACCAATATGTAAAATTTCAATGTCTATAAACTGAAAAGGGATAAGCCCTATATTTGACCCTGTAACTTTCCAAAACTGATTAGACCTGTACATGGGGAGGGGTGATATTGTACTCGTGAGGCATCACTGAACACAAAAATGTGTATTTTATTGCAGTAAAAGCTAACAATATTATGACATTCACAGTTAAAATAGTAAAAAATGAAACAAGGTAGGCACACTCCAATAATGAATGCAAATTAGCCCCAAATTGAGCTCTAGAAGAACTAAATATACGGTGCTCACTTACATGAGGCTCTATCCCCAAAAGCCCAGCTACATGCAAATACAAATTGAGTAAGGAGCACAACCATAAATGTTTATATACACAAAAAAATCTTTTTTCAACTAATAGAATATCTCATTACATGAAAAACCAAGATATAAAGTCATATCATGTTGTAAAGCAACAATCAGAAAAATTCTGGATATATATATATATATAAACGCTAAATGCATAATGTCTGATACGATTATATTGATAAAGGCATTTTGCCGAAATGTTGTTGTTTTTTTTATTGACTCTGTCCCTGCTTCTCATTATGTCTGGTATGTTTTTTTTGTATATTTTTTTTTATATATGTATTTGAGTTTGTGGGATTGGATTGGATATAGGTATCCCATTTTTACTGATATTTTGCTATTCATACATTATGTATTTGGCGTTTATATATATATATATATATATATATATATATATATATATATACATATATATATACAGAATTTTTCTGATTGTTTCTTTACAACATGATATGACTTTATATCTTGGTTTTTCATGTAATGAGATATTCTTTTAGTGTGTACCCATTGAATAAAGATTTTTTGTGTATATAAACATTTATGGTTTTGCTCCTTACTCAATTTGTATTCACAGTTAAAATGTCATGCAGAACTAAGAAAAGAACAAGTAAAGAACAAAATGTCTTATCTTCTCATTCTTTTTAGATTTTATTCATATTACATTATATCTCATATATAAATATTTCTGGCCTCCAGCTGAAAAACATGCTGAGTATTCAGACAGGAAGTGAAGAGGTCCACTTCTAAGGCACCCCAGAGATCCGAGATTTTCCGGAAAACTTTGAGATTCAGATTCCAGTCACTGGAATCCCTGAGGTGTTGGGAATACCAATCCGCTGTAGAGTTTGAGAGGCCGGGGATGTATTCTGCAGTAATTGATATGCCGTGTGTCAGGCAAATCAATGCCAGAAGTCACAAGTCATGTTCGCCAGGATCTTGGATTTCATAACACCCAGGTGGTTGGTGTATCGGACGGCTGATACATTGCCCATCTTGAGCAATATGGTGTACGGGACAGGCTGCAGACTGCAAAGGACCTGACAAGAAGTTCCAAGCAGTTTATGTGGAGTGTCGATTCTACATCCAACCATCTGCCTCCTGTTGCAATGTCTCCACAATGAGCACCCCAACCGTATAAGCTCGTGTCTGACTCTATGATTAGGTCCGGAGCTGTAGCAAATATGGCGCATCCATACCATGCCTTTATATGAAGAAGCCACCACTGGAGCTCGTCTCTTGCTTCTATGTTGAGAAAGTCCAAATCCTTGTACAGAGTGCCTCCTCTAAGGTAGGAGACTTGTAATCTTTGAAGAGCCCAATAGTGAATGAGGCCTGGGAATATTGCCTATATAGAGGCTGCCAGGAGACCAATCATATGTGCCAGGTGTTTTAAGGAGAGCCGGGTAGCTGCGAGCGAGCAATAAATCTCCTTCCTGATGGTCGACAGTTTTATTGTTGGCAGGTGAAGGGTTTGATGGGTGGATCTACTATGAGTCCTAAGAACTCGATGCGTTGTGATGGAGTCAGAATGGGTTTTCACAATTGACCAGGAAACCTAGATTCTGTAACAAGGTGATGGACCACAAGAGATGAGTTCCTAGAAGGGTAACGGTGTTAGAGCTAAAATCAGGATGTCATCTAAGTATATGATGAGGCGTACCCCGTGGCTTCACAATAAGGAGACTACGGGTTTCATGAGTTTTGTGTAGCACCATGGGGCGGAAGACAATCCTAATGGTAGGCATTTGAACCTCTATTTGTGTCCTTGCCAAATGAACTGTAGGAAGTCTCGATGGCAACTTACGATGGATACCGTGAGGTAGGCATCTTTTAGGTCCAATTTGGCCATCCAGTCTGCCAGCTGTAGCAAATCTCTTAAGCAATGTACACCTTCCATCTTGAAGTGATTGTACGTTACATGATGGATGAGTTATTTTAAGTTAATCACCTCATCCCTTTTGTGGAACCAAAAATAAATTGTTTACATAACCCGGAGTATTGAGTGGAATCTCAAATAATAATCCTCTAGGTGGGTGAGCATTGTATAGGCAGTGAGATTAAATATATGTAATTACTGTGTACAGTCTGGAGTACCCAAGAATCTGATGTAATAAAGGTCCACATGTGAGTCTGCCCCCCACAGCGATTAGTGAAGAAAGGTGATTGAAAACACTTACCACAGGGGCGTCCCCCGAAAGAGCACCTTATCGGCATGGACCTTTGGTCAGGAAAATTGTTTCATCCTGTATAGCAGAGGTGCGGAACCTTCGGCCCTCCAGATGTTTTGGACTACATCTCCCATAATGCTCTTACAGTCATAATGCTAGCAAAGCATCAAGGGAAATGTAGCCCAACATATCTGGAGGTCCGAAGGTTCCCCACCCCTGCTGTATAGGAACCTCAGTTCAGTCTAAATGAACCTCTTAGATAACGAACTGACAGACTGCATCTGCTTCTTCCAGCCCCAACAAAAATCTTAAGGTGGAACACACTCTTCATATTGGCTTGAGCCTTATCTAAGGCCATGAAGGTTTGAACCTTGGATCCTAAGTCTTTAATGAAGGAATCCCCTAATAAGAAGCCCTGAGCACCTGGTTTATTAAGCGCTAGGTTCAATTTTGGCTCAATTTTTAAAAGAATAGACTTGTGCCGTTCAGTGGCTAGTGCCATATTGGCATTGCAGACCAGGCAAATCAAGTGCTGAATCCATTCATGGATAATCAGCGTGTCTAGGGGCTGATCAAGGACCAAAGCCACTTCCACTATTACATAGTCTGACTCAGGGTCAGATAAATCATCAGATGAGTCCAAAGCGGACTCCTGATCATACACCTCCTCATGAGTTCTGACTCAGAAGAATCAGGCTGGGTTTTAGCCTGTTTCCATAACCTGGCCGCTTTTGCTTGGTCAGGGGCTCTTTTAAGCTGTGGATTCACACCTGTGCCATCTGTGACAGGTGGTATACTCTCCATCTTAATAGTTTTAGAGACATGTTTTGTTTTTGCCAGTGCTTTATGGCATGGCTGAGAGGTCTGAGAGGCAGGGGGTATCGCGACCATCCCAGCTTGTAATAAGGACCGTGTAAACGTCTTGGATAAAGATGTAGACATAACATCCATGGCAGAAGCTAATACTTTGGACATTGATTTGGACATGGTCGTGTCCAGAATAGATTGCATCTCATCCACGATAGCAAAATCTGCCTCATCTGCAAAGGCCATAGGGGAGAAACCCACATGAATTTGAGGGATAGCCTGTGATCCAGTAGGAGCAGGCAGGTTCTTATTAGACTGCATAGTATATTAATAGACGGCAATATACAGGCCACAAAATATAAAAATATATATAAACGAGTGTTTAAGCCAACTCTTCAGGGTTGAATAACCCACAACGAGTAAGAAAATATAAGGGTAGGAGAAGTGAAGAGAACAGAAAATAGTTTTTAACAAAACTCACTGGCGGCAAGGAGACAAGGAGCCGTCCAAACGCCAGTACTACTAAACACCCACAGAGCGTGAGCGGCAGTCTGGTGGCAGGAATAAGGGAAGCGCCACAACAGAATAAAAACGAGGAACAGTGGTATATAGAAACAACTAAGGGATACTAGAATATACAAAATTAAATGTACCTGACAGAAATCATAAAAGGAAATAATAAAAAAAATATAACTGAACATAGCAGTATTTCACATATACAATTACATGAAAGATAATATATGTCAAAAATATGTAAAATATATAAATACAGATCCCACAGTATGAAAACCATGGGATTCAGGTTCTACTTAACTGAGTGAGCAGCAAAGAAAGAGGAAATAGTTGGTTTGGCTTTGCCCATTATACCGAAGAGTTGCTGACCTTGTTACTAGGACACATGATTATTTTTATGTTTTTTCAATGCGTTAATAAACTATTTTGTTACTGCTCAGGGAAAATAAAGAAAGAACGCAGCATAATATGAGCCTCTGTGTCTTTAATAAAATTGAAAAAAGGTGTTTATTATATTATATTTATATAGTGCTAATGTTGTGCTAATTATGATTTTTTGTTTAGGATTTTTTTTATAATTTACAGGCTGCATTGTATAGTTAGATAGCTCAAAAAGGATGGCTCAAAATATATATATATAAAAATGAGAATAGAAGATTTCCGTTATGAATAGAATATATTTTAGAATAAAGGATTTTCATTATACAGGTACCTACAGTACAACTGCACTCTGTACTTGAACTATATACTACAAAATAATATTGATCTATAAGGGGTTATGAAACCCCAAATTAGATATAATGGGCAAGCCTCTATTTCTCACATTCTGATCTTTTTCATTCCATTCATACAGTTGGCACGGCATATCAAGGAATATTGAAATATGGGAAGAAATGAAAAGTCTGTATGCAGCTTCTTATTATGTTTCCTGCTGGTAAGATGCATTTATTTTCTATGTAAAATAGGGAAATATATTGAGAGTAACAATGAATCAATATCCCAAACCAATTCCTTGTTTACTTTATTCTGGTATGAATAGCTCTGTTTCTTGTGCAGAATTTATATGAGAATAGGGTGTGTCGAGTGAAGGAGAGGAAGCATTGCAAAAGTGTCTTACATGAAAGTACATGAAATGGTGGACATAGCAACTGTTAACAACTTCTTTACCATAACCAAATAGATATGTCAAAAACAGTGCATTGAAGTGCATTAAAGTGAGTATCTGTGTTCCTTGTGCTGTGATCAGCCGCAAAACACTGATTCTAACTACCCCAGGATCAGACTACAAGCTGGGTGGAGGGAAAGATAAGGACACTAGGGACTCCCCATTTTTATTACTATTAGGGCCCCACCCTGCACCAATTGGTGGGTGATAGGGGGGAGACACCTGCAAAGGTGATAAAGAACCCAAAGCCCAACGCGCGTTTTGGCGATAAAAATGGCCTTTCTCACTTACCCCCCTCTCCTTTTATATAACTGGCGCCAAATTCTACTTGCAACCAGTAGGATGTACCTGGATATAGACCGCCAATGAAGTTCAACCCTGAACTTCATTGGTGGTCTGTATCCAGGTACATCCTACTGGTTGCAAGTAGAATTTGGCGCCAGTTATATAAAAGGAGAGGGGGGGGGCGGGGGGGTAAATGGATATTTCTTGTTTGCTTGTGCCCTTGAGAAAGGCGATTTTTATCGCCGAAACACGCGTCGGGCTTTGGGTTCTTTATCGCCTTTGCAAACTGCCTTACTATTAGCCTGTTATGCTATAACACGCTATATTAATTTAGGGACTCTTTTTGCCGGCTGAGTCTTCTTCTTTATATAGCCATATTTAGTTGTGAGTAATCCAGATTCTTCTATACTACTTATTACTTTATTTTCAGTTATCTGTATCTTCCTGTCCTTTCGATTTACTCATCTTTTAGTGCATAGAGTCTCTATTGCTTTTTTGATTTAGTATTAGCGATTGAGTATTTGTCAGGTCCACTGGATCCCTTAGGACTTCGGTTACAGAAAGTAGTTATAGAGGGAATATTGTTCTCCCATATATAGATGATCATGACCTCACTGTATTTAGATTAATTTGGGTTTATTATAACAGCTGATACTTATCATGCTATGATTATTGGATATTGGTTACATCCACTGCTGCTATGCTGTTTATGTTGCAACATTTATTCCCATAAGTTGCATTTATTGTAACTATGTTGCGAGTTCTCTGAGCATAGTAGCTCTCTATCCTTCAATATTTATTCACATATAGCTACAGGCCAATACTTTTTGTATTTTTAACCTTTATTTACTATTAATAAAACTTTATTATTTTTTTGAGCTGTGTCTGAGATACAGTTTTCTGCAAGTTTTTATATGTATTGCTCTGAAACGGGTACTGGTTTTGATGGGATTGTCTCTCTCTCTCTGTGTAGAAGAGTATTTTTCCCTCATTTCCTTATTTTTCTTCATTTAATGTAAATATAATAGGTTGTTGCTACAGTGTTTTTTGTGCCCTTTACATTTTTGTTTAGAAATCACAAAATCAGTGAAGATTATGATAATACATTTTTTACCCAAATTTAACAAAGCTATGTGTGTGCCCCATAATGCAAAAATAACCCACTGTTTCAGTGTGAACTGGCCGCAACATTTCTTAAGAAACGTGGGCTATTTCTGGAAATCCATCATTATCTTTCTTTCTAATGGCACGCCCCCCAAATCTCCTGCAATAAGAAAGTTCTCACTTGCATAATAGTCAGTGTCTGCTGAGAAGAAGAAGGCTGTGAATCATGTCTCTTTTACCAAAAGCCCATTGTTAGAACATGGAATGGGGGAGGTATCTGCTTTTCTCTTGTTTAAGCAGTACATTTTAATGCCCATATAATGCTTACTTTGCTAGCCAGCATATAGAAAATAGTTTGCATAACTGGTGAGCTGTAAACTTAAAAACACGGTGGGAAATACAAGGTAACGGATGGCTAATAGCCCCTACTTCTTCCTCTCTTTCTTATCAATCTATTATTATGATTATACCTGATTCATGTTTTAAGTGTCATTGTTACTATCACTTGTATGTTAAGGCCATAGCTAGTAATAGTTATATTGTGTTGTCATGAAGTTACTTTATCATCATGTATTTCACATCACTAAAATTATCAACAAGATTATTGCATATATTTCTCAATATATAAAAACAGAACACAGCATATTGCATATCCTTTGCTTAATGTTATACCAAGTTATTTAATGGCTATTTCTTCTTGATGGGCATTTGGCAATGTAGTAATAAGTAGTGACATTACCTCTGCTCTGCTTTCCTCTATTTTGTAGATCAGAGGTCTGGAAAGCTCCTCGGGGGTCTTGAGCTCCAATCATACACACACTATAGGTAAGTGCTTACATGTGTTGGTTCTCTTTCACACCGTTGCCACATTTATCATGGCTTGTTTGATAGCTAGCAGTATAAGAGCTCAAAGATGCCCCATCTAGTAGTATTGAAGTAACTGATTCAAAGGACTGTAGTGTTCCATAATAAGGCTACATTTTACACGTAGTTAAACAGAATATTGAAATGGCACTCTATGCACCTTAACTATTACAACCTATTGAAGTGATTATGGTACATAGAGTCTCAGGGCTGTGTTCTTCCAGTTATGTCTGTAAAGTAATACAAGGTGAGCAGGATATTACTTCACTGCAGGGGGATTTAGATAGAATGGGGGTCTGGGCACTCAAATGGCATATGAAATGTAATGTAGAAAAATACATTGTGGCCTCGGACAAAAAGCCATACTCGACCCTCACCTCAGGCAAAGTAAGTTGAAGTGTGCCATAACCAATACTCGGGTTAGACCAGGAAGTAAAGAGGGCCTATCTTAAGAATTATAGGTTGTAAGGGTGAGAAGGGTGGGGTTGCATTACAAATGCCCACGATCTTGAGGTTTGAGCTGTGGGTGATTTTAAGACCAATAAACCTCTCCCACAACTACAGTCCCAACGGCCCGAACATTTATGCACTTTGGTGTAAAGAATGCAAAAGCAACAGTAAAGACAGTATTGATTCATGTATGTACAAATTTTATATACTATTACATATAAGTATAATTACTATATACGATTAAACATTAGAGGTTTTAAAAAAAAATCACTTTATTGGATGCGGTTCATCAATATATTGTTTTGGTCATTTGTTTACTTCCTGATTTTGGGAATCCTTGTGTGATTCTTGATTATTGTGAGTGCCCATCTATTTTTGATTTATCATTTCCTATCAACATGAAGTGTCTCTTTATCCCTCTAGTAAAGACTAGGATTATAAGCATTTCTTAAATGTTCTACTCTCTTTCAGGTTCAGATACATCTGTGACTTTCATTGAAACACATCAAGGAGTATATGAGTATATCAGCAAACCTCTTGACCAGTGGAATGCTGAGAAGTATTGTGAGCACAAATTTGCATCTCTGCTTTCTGAAGAAAATGGTAGTCTGAAGGTTACTCAAAACCTGCTGCAGTCTAACCTGGTGCAATTCCCTATTTGGCTCAAAAAGGCAAATTCATCTTCATCTCGTAAGTTTCCATAGAGGGAGAACAACCTCCGAATGTATCCTATCATATAGAACAGTTTTGTTTTACAATATTTATGTTTAACAGTGTGAATTGCTCCTCCTCTTGAATTCATACAGGCATTTTACATGTGTATTCAAATAGAAACGTCAAATAAGGATCAGCGCTAACACACCACTGGAGATATATTATAAAAAGTGTAGGCAGCACACCTATAAGGAGAGGGGTCCCCTCTAGTAAAAGAAAAATACAGGAAAGGGTGCGCCTGTGAGCAATAAATGTATAAATAGAATAAAATAAATATAAAAATAAACAAAATATAAAAATATATATGATTATACATTTTTATATTTTATTCTATTTATACATTTATTCCTCACAGACGCACCCTTTTCTGTACTTTTATCTTTTACCAATTTACATGTGTATTCAAATGTTTCAAGCTTAGTTCTACTGGCAAAATTCTGCAAAACCAAAATGACAGTTAAAACACGTAACATACATTCATCTCTATATTTTAAACAGTGATTTGCATAATTATTCAGACCCCAAACCAGTTATTAGAAACTACCAAATCACATGCACTGAAACAAAAGCCATACTATTATATTAATACCTGGTGCCATCAATGTTGCAGAACCTTTGGGAATGGCACATGATCACAGAACCACTAAGAATGCAGTAAAGAGTAAAATATGCATTCTGTGATCTCGTCAAGTATTTTGGCAAATTTTACTCTCTGAATATGACTCTGTTTTCATGTACTGGAAAATTTACAGTTTTCTTCTATACAGCATTATACAGCATCTCAAAAATGCCATTTATAACCACAGAGTAACCAACTGACTAATGGTGTGCATAAACTCTGCATTTAAATATGGTATGTACCTTGCAAAGCAATAAGAATCCTCAAAGATTTTGAAATATATCGGAGTGCTAAATAAAATCTCTTTAAATGCTCAGGGGTCTTGTAATGTGTCTTAATTAGATCTGAAACCACACAATATGGGAACTATTTATACTACTGTCGCTACAACACGTTGATATGTACCCTTCACCACATCAAAAATGCAATAAACACTTTTTTTAAATTTTGTTTATTGCAATAAGAAACCTGTCATCCTAGCTATTGTATTTATAGGGACCTTGTTTTTACAGCCTGCTGACACTGCAGCTAGGCAAAATACCCTGAATATAAAAGCAGATTTAATCCAAGTCTCATAAACTGCCTACAAATATACATCATAAAACAGAAGGAAGTAAGATGCCCTGAAATCATAGAGCGTAAAGAATGTCCTGAGACTTTGTAAGAGAATGATTGGGCTGTCTAGAACCAGACACCATGCCCTAAAGGAACACTGTAGTGTTAGGAATACAAATGTATTGGATGTTTAGACACCTGTTCACCCCCCCCCCCCCTTCAGGAAGATAAAGGTATTTTACACACCTTTTCACCCTTGCAGCACCATTCTCAGTGGGAAAGATCATTGAGAATGAGGATCTTAGCCAATAAATGCTTTCCCATAAGAAAGCATTGGTAGGTTAGTGCCCATGCGTGTGAAAAAGCTGTGCTGTGCCAATCAAATTTGTTTCTTTCAGATAATCTGATACAAATAGTTTTACTTTGCTATTTCATCGGAAGCACCTCTAATTAGGCATGTGCATGGAGAATATTTTCGGTTCAGTTCGGCATTCCGAAATCGGGACTTCTGCAATTTGGAACTTCAGCAACTTCGGAACTGCGGCAATTCAGCACTTCGGAACTTCGGCACTTCGGAACTTCAGAAATTCGGCAACTTCGGCACTTCGGAACTTCTGAATTTCGGAACTTTGGCATATCGGAATTTCGGGACTTCAGGACTTATCTTGCAGCCGCTTAGTAGATAACTCCCTAATTCCCATGGCATTAGGGAGTTATCTACCAAAAGGCTGAAAGACCTAAATTGGTCTTTCGGTCAAATTTACTAATACTAAGTAAAAATTATACTGCTATACCGCGAGTAGGGGTATGTCTATTAAACACTGAGCAGCCTGTGGCCCCTCTTCCCGAGCCCCCACCCGCGACGTGCGATTGGAGGCTTTTAAACCAAAGGGGGGACCCTATTGCCCACCAGGGCCCCACCCCTAAGCAGCGGGTGGGGGCCCTAAAGTAAAATAATGGGGGGACCTATTGTCCCCCCCTCTGCCCCCACCCCTGTGTGGTCCCCAAACCCCTAGTCACCCCCCCCTAAAAAATTAACCCCCAGCTACCCCCTAACCCTAAAAATAATGAGGGGCGGACCTTTAACAAAGTTCCTGTAAAAAAAATAAAACTTACCATTTGATGTTTTCTAAAATCTTCTTTTTTCAGCCCCAAAAAAGGCCAAATAAAAAATCAAGAATAACCAACGCACTTAAAAAGAAATTAATAATAATAAAAAAAATCCATCTTCAACCAGGGAGGGCTCCGCGCAGACTGAGCTCTGCAGGGTGGGGCAGGGCTTATAAAGCCTTGCCCCGCCCTGCAATTAGGCTCAGAGCACTCTGATTGGTGGGTTTTAAGCCATCCAATCAGAGTGCTCTGACAGCTAAATGAAGAGACTGACAGGTGAGTCTCTACATTTACCTGTCACAGCACTCTGATTGGTTGGCTTGAAATCCACCAATTTTCCCACGCTGTGTAATTTGACTCATAATTCTCTGATTGGTTACTTAATCCACCAATCAGAGTATTATGAGTCAAATTACACAGCGTGGGAAAATTCCAAAGAACTTTCCCACGCTTTGTAAAATGACACAGAGCACTGTGATTGTTGGATTTCAAGCCAACCAATCAGAGTGCTGTGACAGGTAAATGTAGAGACTTACCTGTCAGTCTCTTCATTTACCTGTCAGAGCACTCTGATTGGATGGCTTAAACCCACCAATCAGAGTGCTCTGAGCCTAATTGCAGGGCGGGGCAAGGCTTTATAAGCCTTCCCCCGCCCTGCAGAGCTCAGTCTGCGGAGCCCTCCATGGGTGAAGATGGATTATTATTTTTTTGCGCTCGTTTTTTTTTTTTTTTTAAGTGCGTTGGTTATTATGGCTTTTTTATTTGGCCTTTTTGGGGGCTGAAAAAAGATTTTAGAAGAAAGAAGACATCAAATGGTAAGTTTTATTTTTTTTACAGGTACTTCATTAAAGGTCATTATTTTTAGGGTGAGGGGGGTAGGTAGGGGTTAATTTTTTTGGGGGGGGAGATGGTGACTAGGGGTTTGGGGAGGGGGTGACTAGGGGTTTTATATAAATATTTCACAAATAAAGTAAATGGTAACTTAACAGTGTATTCTCTACATTTCACAGTATAAGCATTTTTAAGTGACAGAGTCCTTTTAACAAACACTATAAAAATTTGCTTTTTAAAAGGCTAACTCCAAATTAACTTGTCTTGTAAGAAGAGCAGATTTAGCTCTACTTCCATGAACAGCTAAAACTGGTTGGCCATTTGTAATGCAAATTTAAGTATATAGATTAAATATTAATTATAACTTAAAATCACCTTTAAATTCACTATTAATCTACTAAATTGTAAACATCGTAAAATGAAGTGCAACAACTATTTTGCTCCTAAAGCATATACAAAAATTGTTATATATACAGTCATGGGAAAAAGAAAGTATACACTTGCATTCTTTAGTTTTACATATCAGGACATAACAATCTGTTCCTTATGTAAATACAACCTCAGATGAACAACAACACATGACATATTACACTGTCATGATTTATTTAAATAAAAATAAAGCCAAAATGGAGAAGCCATGTGTGAAAAGCTAAGTACATGTACTGCGTCCATAGGAATTAAGAGGCTATGTAGCAGACAGGTGCTGCAAATCAATTGCCCTTGATTAATTGATCATCAGTAAGTGTGACCACCTCTATAAAATATGAAGTTTTATCTGGAGCATTCAGGTATTTGTTAACACCAATGCCAAGTAGCAATTGTTGCAGCCCATTAAACTGGGAAGGGTTATAAGGCCATTTTCTAAAATTTAGCCCATCATTCTACAGTGAGAAAGTTTATTCAAATGTGCAAAACATTCAGGACAGTTGCCAATCTTCCCATGAGTGGATGTCCTCATAAATTTACTCTGAGGTCAAAGTCTAAGTTTTATATTTCAGACTCTACAAGCCTCAGCACGTTAAACCTAATTAAATTGCTGTGGCGGGGCCTTAAAAGAGCTGTGCATGAACAAATGTTGGAAAAACCTCAATAAATTGAAACAATGGTGTAAAGAAGAGTGGGACAAAATTCCTCCACAATAATGTGAGAGACTGATAAAGTCATACAGAAAATTATTATTATTGCTGCTAAAATGTGGCTTTGCAAGCTATTGAATCATAAGATGGACTTTTTCACATATGACTTCTCCATTTTAGCTTTATTTTTGTTAAATAAATCATGACACAGAATAATGGGTCATGTGTTGTTCATCTGAGGTTCTATTTACCTAATTTTAGGACATGTTAGGTAACAGATGATTGTAATTATGTCCTGATATGTAAAACCATAGAATTCACACGCGGTGAATTTTTTTCCAATGACTTTATGCAATATATATTTTACTCCAACAATTAAAGTGCCACGACAAAAGAAAGCAAAATATAAAGTCTCAGTTTTTGTCTTTTGCAGCATATAGAAGACATACAAGTGTACTAAACAGGCACTAGATACCAACTAATGCACTGTAACAATTAAACTGAACCAGCAAAGGGAAAATATATGTATGACTCAATTTTGGTCTTTTACTGCTCCTTCTATTAAAAAAAAAAAAAAGTTTCATAGAAAAAACTGTGTTTACATTTCAGCCTTTCATATGGCTACTAGAGATGCTTTCTGGGGAAGTGATGCACAGTGTGACTGACATTCAGTATCTCCTCCCTCTGCATGCAGACACTGAACTTTCCTCTTATAGATGCACTGATTCAATGTATCTCTATGAGGAGTTTCTGATTGGCCAGAGTGGTGTTTGGCTGCTTGTGCTGGCTCTGCCCCTGTTCTGCCTCCTTGACAGTCTCAGCCAATCCAATGCTTTCCTATCAACACTTCTGATGATGTCATCTAAGCAGGCAGATCAGGAGCAGGGCCAGCAGCAGCAGACTGGAATGTAAGTAAAAGTTTACTATATTTAGGGGGGCAATGGTGTTTAACACTATTGATTCAGGAATACATGTTCCTTTAAACAATAGAGCCATATAGGCACAGGGGGCTCAATAAGGTACTTATTTAAAATATTACCCTATAAGTATAAGTTTGAATTGTAGTTACAGACACTGAAGGATAGAGAGGTGAGTGTAAATTCCTGAAAGAGTTGGATTCTACAAGTTATTTTTAACACAGATTTTTCTTCCTGCTTTTGTATTTCCCGGGGGGGTGGGGGGGAGGGCTTCAATACACACTTGGACAGGGAGTATACCCTCCAACCAACTAGAATAGATTTGTATGCACTTGTGTTTATGGGTATGTTTTAGTTTTTCCTCCCCCACCCCTCTCTAACTATTCCAAACCTACCTTACAAAAAATTTTAATCTATTTTACCCTAGCGGTCATGCTAGGCTGACATCTGACACTACCTGTTTAAAGCTATCGCTCTAACTTAGGGGTAATCCTGTTATTCTGTTTTTGTCCTTATTGCCAAAGTCTTGAAATAATGGAAGACTTGAGACCAATTTGTCTCACTTCATTAAACAAATGGACTTTCAAGTCTCACTATGTAATTTACTAAAAATATTTTCTTTTAATAATTTCTTTTAACAAATATGAAAGTGCAACATCACAACAAACAAAAATGCAATACTATCCTTTTACTGTAAACTGTAATAACATTTGTACTTAAAATATAGTCATTACCACTAATATAGGCTAAAGCGTGAGTTTTTATGGATTGATGCAAACCTGCTAACAACAATATACATATTTATTTGGGATGCAAGTCTGGCCTCAATTGCCAATGTAGTAAGATCTGAAAGTCTTTCCTCGGTCATTGTTGTGCGTAGTAATGACTTGATTAATTTTAGCTTCTTTCCCCATGATGCACTGCTGACTGGCAAAACACAAGCTATTTTACAAAGCCAATAGAGCTCAAGGAATGGAATGGAGTGAGGCTCCAGAAAGTTTGTGAACTCGAGAATTGTGTCCATCTTAATGGCATCTGATGACTTTTTTCTTTGTAAGGTTAGCATTGCCTGCTTCAGCTCAATCTCCAAGTTTTCCATGTTGCAGGAGTAGAAATTGGCCATTGGTTGCAATTTCTCAAAATTAAGAAAAGAATCAGATTGAGGATTCAGAGACTGTACACCTTCCATGATTTCCAGAGAATCCCTTGAGAAGCAAGATTTTAGTTCCGAAATTATTCTGTCAAGAACAACATACATAAACTTTTTAATGAAATCCTCTTTTCTGAGCAGTTGTTGTCGATGACCTACAGTTTCCAAAATGATGCTATTTCTCAAGTGGAAAGGAGGCCGGCGATCTCGCTTTTTGGAAGGTGGTTCAGTATACTCGTCAGTTGGTGCTGGTATTCCACACTTCATGCTTAGCTGGATTGTTTCTGCCCACACATGTCCTATTTTTCCAGAATTAGCAGAAGCTTCAGGTTCACTCTCTGGATTGCGCACTTCTTCAAGCTATTGTATAATTGTTCGTACAAGAAGGACAGCTGATGCAAAGTCAAGATCTCTGGCTTGTAACATGTTAGAGAGCATCTGGGTCCTTTTTAGTATGTTCTAAAAAAACACCAGTGCCAGAATGAAGCCAAAATCAATGAACTGGTGAATTGATTTCGCCTCAACTACTCTCTCAGTATGGTTTCCTTCTGCTAAAATCTTGAGGGTTTCCAACAGAGGGTCAAGTGTTTTCAGAACAGCATTGCAGGCTGCATGTTGGCATATCCACCTTGTGTCACTTAATTACTTAAGCTGAATCACTGATTTGCTTGACATTTCTTGTTGCACATTAGTAAACACTGAATGAACTACAGAGGTACTACAGAACACATACAGCTTTTAAAGTTTCACAAAAAAAATAATTTGCTGCCTGTACATTTTTAACAGTGTCCATGATGACCAGGTTGACTCATACAATAAATGTATAGTGCACAAGGCACCTCCTTTTTAATGTGTGCTTGAACGCCATTAAGATGGCCACTCATTACAGAGGCTCCATCATAGCCTTGTCCAACACAATAATTTTTATCAATGCCTAGAGATGTTAGGACATGGAATATATATTCTGATAGACTTGGCGTCAAGGCTATCTGCTCGGTAGAATTTTAAGAACCGTTCATGGACCATCTGATGAAAGAATCGGACTATGACAGACAGTTGTTCTGTTTTACTCAGATCCTTAGTTTCATCTGCAATAATGGAAAAGGGACTTCCTTTAATGCTCTGTGCAATGTCTTCTCTAACAAGAGCAGCCATAATTGACAGAAGTTCATTTTGGATAGATGGATGTAAATATCTTGCATTTCTTGGTCCTCTAATTTTTTTCCTGACAATGCTGTCTTTTTCTGCAATTAAATAAAGAATTTCACGTACATTTCCATGACTGACATCATCTGAGTTGCACCGATGTTCTCGCTGGGCAATTTTGGTCTTGGCTGTTAGCAACAAAACTTGTGCTATATGTGTAATGTATATTTCATTCACCTCTCTTGTATGTGCTTTAGTTAGATCCTTCATGATTGATGTATCCTGGCTTACACTCTTTTTGAAATCCTCCCATCTGACATCGGCATCTTTGTGTGAAGCAGACCTCTCATGCTGTAGTATTCCTTTACCTGTTACAATTGCATTTTTCCAGTTTTTGTACCCTATGTTTATAAATGGTACTTTTTTAACATACCCGTAGAAAAATTTTGAAGTTAAAAAAAAACGGCATGGGAAACAGTACGATGCATCCTCGGAAATAGAATACTCCAGCCATTCAAATGACTGAAACCACTGTGGTCTAAATGACCTGAAGCGTGTTCCCACTTGTTTCTGTGGGTATTTTTTCAATACAGGCTGTCTTGGCCCTTCAGTAGCACACTGGCTGATATCATCTGGTCCATGTATTGTTGTTTTTTCAGTGCTAGCAGATGTTTGTGCACTCTGTGGTGGTTCAACTTCACTGAAATCCTCTTCATAAGTACTGTGTTGGATATTGCTTTGTGAGGAGGTGCTTGGCTCTTCAATGTGGAATGAAGGTTCATCATCATCTGATATTATTTCAGCAGTGTCATATTCAACATCATCCTGATCCTTCTCAAACGTTTCACCCTCCTCAAAGGATGAAAACGTACCAGGCTGACCTTTTTCTTGTTGCTGCTTTTTTGCCATATCAGCCTTCTGGGCCTTAACATTTACCACAGAATAAAATGAACGGATATCCATTTTTGAATTATCTAAGAAGTTAAAAAAAAAAAATGCATGTTGTTCTTATGGGACACTTAACATTACTCAATAAAATATTTAATAAAACCAATGTTATAACAATGTGCTTTGATAAATGTAGATACAAAACCAATCATACTGTCTCATCACTAGCAATCAAAGTAACTACATGAATTAAAGAACATTATCACACACCTTAATAAATGTTCATTATATTAAAACGTCACCATGACAAAAATAAATTCTTTATATATTCTTTGATAAGAACAATTTAAAAAATACAATGGCACAATACTGTAAGCATAGTAGGACACATTGTGAATGCACATATCAGATACCTATGTATACACATATGTACTTATACACACACACATATTTTATAAGGCATTAGCTCTGTGCAAACCAAACAGAAGAAACAGGTTTATTCCCTTAACAGTAAATTGCTAAATTCTTAGCAAAATTGGGATGATTAATAAAATCTCTATGTTGGAGAATTTAGCAATTTACCACTATGCAATATTTAGTCTATAAATTCCATACCTTTACCTCTAATTACACTTGTGTACAAGATATATTTCTAGGTGCAATGGTGACGTCTTACCATTTCTATATGCAAGGATGATGGGATATATAATCTATGGCTCTAGATTAAATTATCTTTACAATTACATTTGTCTATTCTTTATGGACAAAAAAAACAAAACAAGCGTGGCATTGGCAGATGATGCCATTTTACTACCGTTTTCACACCTAGATTAGATTATTCCAGGTTTGAATATTCACTGACATGTTAGCATTTATATCTTGGTAACTCTAAAGATCATGAGCACCCAAACTGCAAACACAGAACTTGCCCCTGCAACCAGATTTCAATTTTAAATAGAAAAACAAAACATATAAAAATACAAATACTTTTCTAAATTTCATCCCCGCATTCCTCTTAAACTGATGACAAGGTTGACCAAATAAGTAGCTGTCAGGGCTTTTTGTCTTGTCTGTGCTGTGGCTTCAAAGCTAGGGCCTATTTTAATGATAAATTTACACTGCACGTTAAATCATCATTATGCAAGGCCGCCCAAAGCACTGCACGTTAAATCATCATAATGCAAGGCCACTCAAAGCACTGCACGTTAAATCCTCATTATGCAAGGCCGCCCATAGCACTGCACATTAAATCATCATTATGCAAGGCCACCCATAGCACTGCACGTTAAATCATCATTATTCAAGGCCGCCCATAGCACTGCACGTTAAATCATCATTATGCAAGGCCGCCCATAGCACTGCACATTAAATAATCATTATGCAAGGACGCCCAAAGCACTGCACGTTAAATCATCATTATACAAGGCCGTCCAAAGCACTGCACGTTAAATCATCATTATGCACTGTTAAATCATCATTATCAAGCACTGCCGCCCAAAGCACTGCACGTTAAATCATCATTATGCAAGGCCGCCCAAAGCTGCACTATTATTATTTCTGAATAGGGAAATTGCATTTTAAACAAAATTGAAAAATACACTGTTCATATACTGGACACAAATAAAAAAAGGACATAGGGCTTTATATTTGCTCCTCATTCATAACCTGCCTGCTGTTTGGGGACAGAGAAGGCAACACCACACCGTCGTCAAGCTGTTTGGAGACATAGATATTTGCTATCCGGGGATAGTGAATTGCTAATTTGCCTATAGTTCATAAATTTGATTATATATGAATCTCTCACAGTCTGCAATGGAGGACTTTTTTGTGCAAGCTGGTGCAAATGCAACACAGGCTAATACACTACAATTTGATGATGCTCAAGCTGAAGACATATTGTGGAATACTACTAGTCGAGAATTCCCAGTCACTACAACATTACGTGACATTTATTTCAAGATCTTAAAACTAAAGAAAAAAGAGGTTGATCTGGACCTTCATGGTACGTTTTTATCTGACTACCATAGGGCCAAACAAATACCCAGGGGATTCAGGATGAGAAGCATTCCTACCATAGGTAGGACTAAAGCTAAAGTATGTCGCGATTGGACCTCTGTACTCAATAAATGTTCTTTGGACCTAATGCTTGTGACCATACAAGACGTGAAGGAAGATCTGATTGAAGTCCGAAAGAAAATTCAAAACTTCGAATCCGAATTTGCTTTACAACTTAGCACCCAGGAGGGGATTGAAACCACCTTGAGACTAAGTGAGGAAGTTCTTAAATATAAGAACCAACTCATTAAATTTAAAAGTCAGAAGATGGAAATGGTCCAGCTGGACTACCAGGAAGGCACAGTATACAGATGGCTAACAGGTGAACAAAAAGGAAGATCAAGAAGATTTCGTAAGAGAATTGTAAAACCTAATGTAACAACTATTGATGTCACATCAGGGGAATCAGCCTCAGAAAATAAAGCAAGTCAGGCCAGAAATAACAGATCAGTTTTCTTAGATCAAATCAGGGATCAAGACAGGACATCACCCTCTCCTACAGTCACAAGGAGCAAGGGAAAACATGTAAAAGGAACCACACCAGACGTTGACAGAAGGGAAGATGCCATTGGACTCAGAGGGAAACCACCAGTTCGCAGATAATCCCTGTATTTAACCTTTCTAAACGTAAGTTGACAGTTCCAGAAATACAACTATTAAGCAAGGGCCTTTCCTTCATACCTACAACACCTCCTAACCCATTTCAGTGGGAGATTGACCTGTATAAATTTGGCCGCTCCATCAGATTGAAGAATTTCTTCAAAAATTCCACGACTTTGGCCACTGACTCATCTAAATCCAACATCTCATACCAATTTAAATCAACTAGCACATTTGATCCTCCTGCTACCCAAGCTTCAATCAAAGCATTTTTTGTCCACAACAAAGTGGGAGTCTGAAGCAATTTTTAAACAACACCAACCAAAGCATTTTAACGTCACCAAAGCTGAACGTAACATGATTAAGAATTTGACAACTGATCCTTCGATAGTGATTCGTCCGGCAGACAAAGGAGGAGGTATAGTGATCCTGGAGTATGATGCCTATGCTCTAGAAATTAGACAACAACTAAATGATATTAGAACTTATCAACGTTTGGAGAATGATCCTACAGAAATCATAGCGAGGAAAATCGAACATGTTTTAACATCTGGATTACGTGCAGGACACATAAACTTAGAACTTTTTCAATATTTGAAAAAAGAAGAACCACGTACACCAATTTTGTATACCCTGACGAAAATACATAAAAATTTGACGAATCCACCAGGACGCCCTATTGTATCTGCTACACAAGGCATTCTGGAACCTATAGCTAGATACTTGGATCACTTGTTTAAAAATCCAGTTACCTCCTTGAAAACTTGCATTAAAGACACCCCTGACCTTCTCCAAAGATTGAAAGAAGTTGGTACCTTTAGTGGCATCCTTGTGACCATGGATGTGGGTAGTCTTTATACGATCATCCCTCATGACGATGGCATCCAAGCCATGCGCAATCTGCTTACCCACTCACAACACTATAAAGGACCTGCCATTGACTTTGTATTGGAACTCTTGAACATTACCCTTCAAAACAATTATTTTCGTTTTGAGAAGGATTGGTTTTTGCAGACAGCGGGCACTTCTATGGGGGCTGCTATGGCTCCAATGTACGCCAACACATATATGTATGAATATGAAACTAAGAATATTCTTCAGACATATGCACACCAAATCATTCCTTACTTTAGGTTCATCGATGATGTCCTTATCCTATGGAGAGGCTCTAAAGATGAAGCCGTTCAATTTGTACAAAACCTAAATGAGTTACCTACTCCGGTCAGATTCACTTCAACTTTTAGTGAGTCTAATATACAATTTCTTGACATTGAAATTATGATCATTAATCAACTATTGGAATATACTTTATTTTCCAAACTTCTGACCAGAACACTCTATTGCACTTTGACAGCTTTCACCCTAAACATCTTAAGCAATCGTTGCCCTACTCACAGTTTTTACGAGTTTTGAGAAATAACTCACTGGGGGACAAGTGTGCACAACAACTAGCTCAGATGTATGAGAAATTTCAAGCAAGGGGATATCCCCGAATGGTTCTCGACAAGGCTCTATCTAAAGCTAAACAAGTGCCTGGTTTAAACTCACAGGTTCAACCCAAGGTTGCTATAACCAGATGCAGATTTTTAACATTGTTGAACACGGCGAGTTCAGAATTGAACACTACTATCAAAAAACATTGGCAAGCATTGGAGCTTGATCCTACTCTTCCAGAGACTTTTCAACAAACACCTATGCTCTGTTACCGAAGAAACAGAAACCTAAGGGATTTACTTGTGAAGACTGATCCACGACATTGTTACGATAAAAAAAAGATGGGCAATTCCAGTGTCGGGCGTGTGAGGTGTTTGGGGTGTGTGACGTGCGGTCATCTCATTCCATCCAAAACCTTTACACACCCTTATACAGGACACGTTTATAAAATCCGACAACGAATACATTGTCGGACTGATTATGTAATTTATAAACTCACTTGCCCATGTGGATTGAACTATGTTGGTAAAACAGAGACTGCCCTCTGTGAGAGAATTAGGGGCCACAGATCAAGTATCCGGCTTGCCTATCGTGATGGCAAGTCGGACAAACCTGTGGCCAGACATTTTCTAGAGTTTCAACACCAACTTTCTTCACTAAGATGCACAACAATTGAACATGTCTCAAAGCCAATTCGTGGTGGTGACAGAGCCAAATTGCTTTTGCAGAGGGAAGCATATTGGATTTACCAATTAGGAACATTGTCCCCTAAAGGTCTCAATGAAAAATGCTCTTTTGTAGCATTCTTATGAGATTGACAATCGGGAACATTCATGATGTTTAATATATACTCTGTTTTTCTTTATGATTATTATTAGGCTAATAGTTTTCATTTGATCCGTGAATAGCATCATTAGATTGAATTGTAATGGAAATTTTTTTTAAAATTAGAATATAGAGTTTTTTCATCTGAATATTTATAGGTAATCCAGGTACACGCAGTCTGTGTCAATGCATGGGATAGAATGACATTATTTTAGTAATACATTGCTTACTTTTAAGTACAATTCTTTTTCTAAGTTTCAGTCATTTTTTTACATATCATAAACTTCACAGTTTTTGCACACCACATATGACATAACTCTATACACATCATGTCTAGAATATTTATAATATTGGACTTGGTCCTCTTTAAATATAATATCTTGTTTTCACTTTATTTGTAAGGCTCTGTTTTCCCTACACTTTTTAATTCTTAGGACACCAGAGTCATAAAGTATACGAGATATACAAAAATATTTTTGTCCTCTTTCTATTCCTATTTAGGATTTTTTTTATCAACGATGTTTCTCACATCTGAATACTTAGCACTTTAAACACCTTTTTGATACCACAGACATTTACATTAACAATAGACACTTAGGTTTTTATATTTTAGCTATGTAATATATGATCTTTAAATGTCTATAATACATGTTGTGATCCTTGTTTGCAGGTAGCACGGTCCTCTAGGGTAAACAATAGGCACAGTCCTTGTAATTGCATATACTCCAGGCACTTTATTTGTAAATCCACACAGGATACAGCAGTAAATGAAAACATAAATGTAACACAAAACCATATAAACAAAAACCTAGCTCGTCTGAGCACTAACTGACATTAGGTTCCCTATCTCTCAGGGTTAAACTAAACAAAACAATAGTGGTTTCACCAACCTAGAGTCTTTGTCCACTCTCAGCACTCCAGTATTTAGCCAGCCTGCTGCTTCCAGCCTTTCAGAGAGAAACAAAACATTCTCTCCCTACCTGCCTAGCAGGGAGGGATTTATTCCCACTGCTGCAGCCGATTACCTGCAGCTGAGCAGTAGGTTGGAGACAGTCCAAAACCCTGGGCTGGATCTATGTCTTCCAAGAAAACCGCTAAACTGCGGAGTGGAGCACTGGCCCACCCTGCTCTCCAAATGCTCCACCCCAGGGGCCCATAACTAAATATTCATTCTGGTTACATACACAGAAACATACACTCCCCCTGGGGTTAAAAATCAAATGCCTCTCTGAACAATTCTGTCGAGATATAGACTCCCTCACAGACCACCCCATTCACCTTATCACAATGTGTAATAATATATCTGCACTCTGTAACCTCTCATTTCTTATATAGGGATTGCTTGTCTTCTGTGTGGTCACAGACAGTTATACTTTTTAATTATAGCATCCTCCGCTTGAAAAGCGGTTATAAATGCATTTGTTTAAGTTTGTCCCTCTCAGTAGACCATAGAACTTCCTTTTAACCAATCGGAAGTTAGTATTCTCGGTTTCTAAGCACCTACGAACGGTGCCCAATCAGCAAGAGTCTCGTGGTCAGGTGACCAACCCAGAAATGAATTCAGTCGTGGCGGCAAACAGACACGAGCAATCCCTGAACCAGCTGCATGCAAGTACCTCATTTACCAAGTAATTTTGTTCCTTATATAAGCATAATTTTCATTTTAAGATGTTGTATGTCCTGATGAAAGCTCCCTAGAGGAGCTGAAACGTTGATTTATTTTTACATAGTAAAAAGCTGTTAAAATTCCTTGAGTGACGGTTTTCTTCTACTCTCTACAATTGAGCCACCAGAGCACCAGGTAAAACATATTTTTTTTGGAGTGCAGGGGTTTGACATATTTTTTGTGTATATATATATATATATGACAAATACATGACACTTTATTTTCTTAATTATAGTAACTATTCAAACAGTTATGAAAAAAGGCCACGTCTTATCATGTCCATTTTCCATGTCAGTTGTTTACAATGATTTTATAAATGTTTTTTGATAAGGCCAACTTATAACATTTCTATATTTATTTTCAGGGCCACAGTCTCTTACAGCCTTGTTCTTTAAGAACCAGAGTGACACTAAGTATGCAAGATTACTGGTGAACTTTAAGCCTCTACCAGAAGTTACAGTTTGTGCATATATGCAATGGGAAGGTACAGACGGAATTTCTGAAACAATTTTTTCTTATGCAGTGCCAACTTTTTTCAATGAGTTCCAGTTGAGAGGTCTCTCGAAAGATGGGCAAGTTCAGTTTGCCATACTAGTTCATGGTCAACATACACCATTCTCACCCATGTTCAACATTGATCGGCTCTGGCATCATTTCTGTGTTACCTGGAATACATTGAATGGCACATGGGCTTTGTATGCTGATGGACAAATGAAAGCTACATCCACCAACATCTATGCCTTCCATGAAATCATGAAAGGTGGTATATTTATTGTGGGCCAAGATCAAGATACATTTGGAGGTAGTTTCAAACAGAAAGATTCATTCAGTGGTAATATTACATACCTGAATATCTGGAGAAAAGTGCTCAATGATGATGAAATAGAACAGGTCAGATCATGCAGCTTATCAGAAAAATACATTGTTTTTGGTTGGAATACACACAAGTTGGAAAAAGAAACAGCTTTGCAAGAATTTGATATTCCAGTGGCTTGTCCGGGTAAGTGTTTTTACAAAACAAAATCATAAATAGTTTTGAAAAGAGAATACAAATAAAGTGACCTGAATGTCATAGTTACTTATCGGTAGCAATTATTATTAAAATACGTCCAACAGTTTATAGAAACATAGAAACATAGAATGTGACGGCAGATAAGAACCATTCGGCCCATCTAGTCTGCCCAATTTTCTAAATACTTTCATTAGTCCCTAGCCTTATCTTATAGTTAGGATAGCCTTATGCCTATCCCACGCATGCTTAAACTCCTTCACTGTGTTAACCTCTACCACTTCAGCTGGAAGGCTATTCCATGCATCCACTACCCTCTCAGTAAAGTAATACTTCCTGATATTATTTTTAAACCTTTGTCCCTCTAATTTAAGACTATGTCCTCTTGTTGTGGTAGTTTTTCTTCTTTTAAATATAGTCTCCTCCTTTACTGTGTTGATTCCCTTTATATATTTAAATGTTTCTATCATATCCCCCCTGTCTCGTCTTTCCTCCAAGCTATACATGTTAAGATCCTTTAACCTTTCCTGGTAAGTTTTATCCCGCAATCCATGAACCAGTTTAGTAGCCCTTCTCTGAACCCTCTCTAAGGTATCAATATCCTTCTGAAGATACGGTCTCCAGTACTGTGTAACATTATTATGTTGCCCTACTGAGAGGTTTTCTATAGGTCTCACTTAGTCTATAGAAAACCTCTCAGTAGGGCAACATAATAATGGTGCTGGAGTCCTATGCAATATCAATACCACCACATAAAAAGACACATCAGTAAGTGCCCCCTCCCCAAAAAAATAACGATACTATTTAGTATGCATGCATTTAATTATGCATTTTTTTATTTGGTGTATCTAAAAACAGCTTGCAAAAGCTGAAGATCACTTGTCTGAAGCCTTTGCATGTACTCCACTTCCTCCCCAGCCCAGACTTTGTATGGCTATCCAATTACAGACTTCACAATGAGAAGTATTTTCAAAACAAGTGCTCTGAGCAATTTCCTCCCTCTGGAGTTGAGCTCCACGGAGCTTAATTACCAGGAAGAAACCGGTTGTTTGACTGACAGCAAAGGGAGTGTAACAAGGTTAATTTATGAAAATGCTAATTTCAATCAAAAAACGGACTTTTTGTAAAGTGAAAAAAGAGGACACACTCTTCACACATACAGGTGATACTCGAAAAATTAGAATATCGTGCAAAAGTTCATTTATTTCAGTAATGCAATGTAAAAGGGGAAAATAATATATGAGATAGACGCATTACATACAAAGCAAGATAGTTCAAGCCGTGATTTGTCATAAGTGCGATGAATATGGCTTACAGCTCATGAAAACCCCAAATCCACAATCTCAGTAAATTAGAATATTGTGAAAAGGCGCAATATTCTAGACTCACAGTGTTTCATTCTAATCAGCTAAGTAAGACATAACACCTGCAATGAGTTTCTGAGCCTTTAAATGGTCTCTCAGTCTGGTTCTGTAGGAATCACAATCATGGGGAAGACTGCTGACTTGACAGTTGTGCAGAAAACCATAATTGACACCCTCCATATAGAGGGAAAGCCTCAAAAGGTAATTGCGAAGGAAGTTGGATGTTCCCAAAGTGCTGTATCAAAGCACATTAATAGAAAGTTATGTGTAAGGGAAAAGTGTGGAAGAAAAAGGTGCACAAGCAGCAGGGATGACCGCAGCCCGGAGAGGATTGTCAGGAAAAGGCCATTCAAATGTGTTGGGGACTTTCACAAGGAGTGGACTGGGCTGGAGTCAGTGCATCAAGAGCCACCACACACAGACGGATCCCGGACATGGGCTTCATATGTTGTATTTTTCTTGTCAAGCCGCTCCTGAACAACAAACAACGTCAAAAGCATCTTACCTGGGCTAAAGAAAAACAGACCTGGTCTGTTGCTTAGTGGTAAAAAAGTCCTCTATTCTGATGAGAGCAACTTTTGCATCTCATTTGGAAACCAAGGACCCAGAGTCTGGAGGAAGAGTGGAGAGGCACACACTGCAAGATGCTTGAAGTCCAGTGTGAAGTTTCCACAGTCTGTGCTGATTTGGGGAGCCATGTCATCTGCTGGTGTTGGTCCACTGTGCTTCATTAAGTCCAGGGTCAACGCAGCCATCTACCAGGAGATTTTGGCATACTTCATGCTTCCTTCCGTAGACGAGCTTTATGGGGATGCTGACTTCATTTTCCAGCAGGACTTGGCACCTGCCCACCCTGCCAAAAGCACCAAAGCCTGGTTCAATGACTGTGGGATCACTGTGCTTAATTTGGCCAGCAAACTCGCCTGACCTGAACCCCATAGAGAATCTATGGGGCATTGCCAAGAGAAAGATGAGAGAAATGAGACCGAACAATGCAGAAGAGATGAAGGCCGCTATTGAAGCATCCTGGTCTTCCATAACACCTCAGCAGTGCCACAGGCTGAAAGCTTCCATGCCATGCCGCATTGAGGCAGTAATTGCTGCAAAAGGGGCCCATACCAAGTACTGAGTCCATATGCATGCTTATATTTTTCAGAGGTCCGATCTTGTTCTATGTACACTCCTTGTTTTATTAATTGCATGTAATATTCTAATTTACTGAGATTGCAGATTTGGGGTTTTCATGAGCTGTAAGCCATAATCATCGCACTTATGACAAATCAATGCTTGAACTATCTTGCCTTGCATGTAATGTGTCTATCCCATATTTTAGTTTCCCCTTTTACGTTGCATTTCTGAAATAAATAAACTTTTGCACGATATTCTAATTTTTCGAGGATCACCTGTATAGTGCTTCAGAAAGTCCTTTATGAGTCGAAAGTGTCTCGTTAAGAGTGTGATTTTTTTTTAAGGTTATGCAAGACTTAGGGTTCAACAGGTTTTAAGGTTAAGGAAAAGTTAGAAAAAAGTGTGGCCTTCTAGATACTGTGGAACTCCAAACTTTGACATGCCGAGAATCATGGAAAATACAGTCAATAGCACCTTAAAGGAAAGCACTCCTGACATCTAAATGAACCCTAAGCCTCTATCCTTAATTTTATGTCCCTCTCAACCATAAACATCACCAGATATCATATGAGCCTTTTAAGTGAAAAAAATGTTCTCAGGTTAAAATTATTTTAAAAAATAATCTGTTTAGAAAATTGTTATAAAAGTCTACTTATTGACATGTATTCTTCAGACACTGATTTGAATAAACCAAAAAGAAATGCACCTTATACACACACTTATATACAAGGATACTTATCAGTGGTTAGTGAATGCAGCCTCCCTCAGATCGCTCCCAGCTAGCAATCAACTTGAACACAAGAATATACAAAACACAACGAGGGAACCAGCTGATTGTCTAAATGAAGATAAATAAAAAGAGGTATAGTGTAATACAGTTTTACAATATTAACACTGCGCAATATAAAATGCACTCACAGGATATTGGACAGTTCAGGCATATATGGTGCCACCCCTGATGATATGGGGGGCTAGAGAAATCCCCTGGACACTTCCACTCAAAAATGCAGGACTCCAGGTGAAGATATGAAAAAAGCGGCTTTAATTGTATAAAAATATAAAATAGATACAAATAAAGGTCCGGTTAGTGAATGCAGCCTCCCTCAGATCGCTCCCAGCCAGCAATCAACTTGAACACAAGAATATACAAAACACAACGAGGGAACCGGCTGATTGTCTAAATGAAGATAAATAAAAAGAGGTATAGTGTAATACAGTTTTACAATATTAACACTGCGCAATATAAAATGCACTCACAGGATATTGGACAGTTCAGGCATATATGGTGCCACCCCTGATGATATGGGGGGCTAGAGAAATCCCCTGGACACTTCCACTCAAAATGCAGGACTCCAGGTGAAGATATGAAAAAAGCGGCTTTAATTGTATAAAAATATAAAATAGATACAAATAAAGGTCCTAATGAAAAAAGCGGCTTTAATTGTA